ACGTTTGTTACATATGTCCTAGCATATTCACTTAGTAGTTAACTCACATCACTTAAGATTTCCAAAAAGCACAAAGCAAGCACAATTCATGGAGTAACGCTCCAAACCATAGAATAACCAAGAACATCCCATCTCACACACCATAACTCATGCACTCTATCCTTACTTCCTAGATGAACACTAAACATATTGCGACTGGCAGACTAACCCTACATAACTCATACTACCAATACTTACCACACAATGCTCCATTAGTGCCAGGTGACTATTGCATGAACACTATTACATACCACACAGCTTAAAAAATCTTAGGCTAAGAGATTCAATCCTACAACGTTTGGACTCAGACAAGAGCTGCGCAACAGGACCAAATTCCTTACCTTAAGACCATTTAACCCATGTAGTATGTAACCTAGCACTTTCATTTAATAGTCAGTTCACACACAAAAGAGTCACACAATAATCAGTAAGGTATTCTAATAGAGATAACACATCATATATCAGAAAAATTTATCGTACGTTTCCTAAAGATCTCTATCCTACTACTAGCATGTCATTCTTAACATAACATAACATAATCGTAGATAACTATGTGGTAATTTGGGGTCAACTTACCGGCTCCGGCTGATCATACACATCGCATCCTCTATGATTATTTTGAAAACCATTTGAAAATTGTTTTAAAAATCTATTTCCTAAGTCTGAGATTGGATTCCCATGAGTGTTCCTTCAATTCACTCAAACCAAGGCTTTGATACCAACTAGTAACATCCGCAAAATCGTGAAAATTTTGAACTTTTCAAAACAACCCACTTACTATTAACAGTGTTTACAAAATCAGTATTTCCAAAACATTAATTATAATCAGAGTCCCAAAATCAAATCAGTTGAAAACCAAGGATGTGTGCGGTCACACCTTCACCTCACCACAAATATCTGAAGTACCTGAAATAATAAACTGAAACTATAAGCATAAAGCTTAGTGATTTCCCCAAAACATCCACCACATACACACAATAACAAGTACAATAGTAAACAACATGCCTACAAATCCATCATCATGACTAGAATGCCCCACCAGCCTACAGTCTATCTGGTATGCCTACATAGCTTTCTGTCTGACTGGAACGCCCCATCGCCATATAGTTTATATGTGTAACGCCTGCAGATCTGGGCTAGTCGATTTATAAGTGGAAATGGGGTGTTACAATATATATATATATATATATATATATATATATATATATATATATATATATATATATATATATATATAATAAAAAAACAAGTCAAATGTATTCCGAAACCATGGTCCGGAATCGTACTCCAGCATCCTGGAGTCCTTTCCGGAATAATATGTTCCGGAGAATGTGGTTCTTTACAAAAAAAAAAAAATTGAGTCATTTTTGTAAAAATGTCATTTATAAGGGTTAGATTACTTAGTTTCCAATAAAACAATAGCTGTACCAAATAAACAAATAAAATAAAATGAAGAAATAAATGTATATTTCAATTAATATTTGTATCTCTATAAGGCGGAGGGGTGTGGGGGAAAATTGCACGTAACAATCTAGGTGGAGGGGTTGTTCACGCATGAACACCGCTCCCGGTAGGAGTAAGTATTATGCATATTGATGTTGGTCACGGATGTTCAATGACGATTTCATTGGTTATTCAAATTTTGATCATTTAGCATTCAAATTAGTATCGTTTATCAAATAAAATATATATATATTTTTGAAATTAAAACTTCACCTATATATACGAACACATAATACACATTAAATATCTCACAACGAATACACTTAATAGTATGAATAATTTTTTGGGTGTCATTTCTTCTTCTTCATCGGATGAAGATGATTCTAATGATGATGAGTTAATTATGCACACGTTGTCCGCACCACACTACATTTCGTATTTGTAGAAATTTATTCGTACATATAGCTAGAGATTTGGAAAACAATCATGAGTTTTTTTCAATTGAGATGGGATGCTAGAGGTAAACGTGGTTTTACTACATTTCAAAAATGCACATAAGTTCTTAGATAATTGGCATATGGCATAGTCGTAGGCGCTTCAGATAAATATTTGAAAATGTCTATGATGACTGGTCGAGAATGCACATACTTTTTTGTAAGTATGTTATACAACTTTACGGTGACATATACTTGTGAAATCCGACTAGAAGTGATGTTGAACAGTTCTATGTCGCATATCAAACTAAACATGGATTTCCATGAATGCTTGCTAGCGTTGAGTGTACACATTGGATCTAGCAAAATTGTCCCAATGTACGGTGAGGCCAATTCACACGAGGTGATCATGGAGTTCCGGTTGTTATACTAGAAGCAGTTGTTTCACTGGACCTATGGTTTTGGCAAGCATTTTTTTGGTATGGCGGGGTTCAAACAACGACCTGAATGTGTTTGGAGCATCTCCCTTATTTAACGATATTTTGCAAGGTAAAGCACCAAACAAGCCATACATTGGCGATGAGATATATCAAGAGTACTGTAACATCCGTAATTTCGGGTATGAAAGTTCGTGTCTCAATTTTGAGGATTCAGGAGGGACTCGACGAGTCGTAGGTCTGATTCGCTGAGTCACGTCTAGTTGATCACGTGGATTTAATGAGCGGACACGACGAGTCCAAGTATGGACTCGCCGAGTAGGTACTGGACAGAGAAAACCGTAAGTTTCGGGGTTGGAGCCTATTTAAAGGAACTTATGACCTTGGATGCGCCTCATATCTCTTGTGGGAAACCCTAAATCATCAGTGGAGTCAAGGGAGAGTTCTTGTGATGAAATCAAGTAATTTTGGTGTGATTTTGCAAAGGAAGAGAAGGCATTCGGCTAGAAGGACCAAAGGAGGTTGTTATTCTGATACATCCAAGCAAGGATCTCCATTCCGAGGTAGTATTTCGCCCTTTCCTTCTGTTTTGTGTACAATCCTTGAATATAGGGTTTTTCTTTACCCTTTCTTGGATAATATATGATGCATATGAGGTCCCAATGTGGAAAAAGTATTAGATATGGACCTTAAGAGGTCCAAAGAGTCCCAGTCTTCCAACTTTTTGCAGTTCCATTGGATTTATAAATCTAGGATGCCATTTTTAGAGCTATTTCACCATATAGAGCCATATATGTATTGCATGAGTATAAAGACTGGAACTTTATGTGATTATTGGGTGTTAGAAAGGTCAGATCTATAAGTTAGAGAAGCATATCTGACCTCAGAAGGTCTTTTGAGTGTTGCCATGAAGGGAACATGCCGAGTCCATAAGGGGACTCGACAAGTTGAGTCGGGTTGCCCCGCGATTCGTGACCGGTGCTAAACCATCGAGTGAAAGGATAAAGCGATGAATTGAGTGAGGATTTATGAGGATTAAGAGAACACGTGTGGACTCGCCGAGTCACACGAGTGCACTCGACGAGTTTGGTCAATGTTTGACCGCTAACTAGAGTTGACTTCAGTTGACCTTGGGATTTTGATCAAGCTGGTTCAAGAGAGGTCAAGGAGGGGTAGAATGGTCTTCTACCCATTCTTTAGAAATAAGGACAAGAGGAAGTATTGATTAGAGATGTTATTATGTTGACAGGAGGAGGCTAGGTCAGGTTATCGATCAGGAGAGGTTATCCGACATCGTATGAGGTGAGTCTTCTCACTATACTTTACTTTACTTTAGCTAGAGTGGTAATTATGTGTGACCGGAAGGTCTTATGTGCTATGATAGGTATGTGGTGCATGCTGTTATATGATATGTATGGGTTATGTTATGTTATGAGTATTATGATATGGATTGGAAGGTCAACAATGTATGAGCCGGAAGGTCAAGATGATACGGGCCGGAAGATTAGAGAAGTGGGATCAGAAGATCTACCAGGACTATGGGACGGAAGTCCCCTGAGACACATTGACCGGAAGGTCTTGTATAGTTGTAGCCTTGAGTGGTGTATTGGCTATATGTGGTATTTTAGGGAACCCACTAAGCATTTATGCTTACCGTATAGGTGATATGTGTTTCAGGTACCAACGAGGATCGCGGGAAGGTGCTGCTTACCGTATAGGTGATATGTGTTTCAGGTACCAGCGAGGATCGCGGGAAGGTGCCGGCATGATCTGTATACATTGATGGACTTTTATGTCTTTGAGATCTTGGGAATTGTTTTATTTGGATGACATGTGTTACATTGGGTTTTGATATTTCTTATGAATGAAATTATGTTTTTAAAAAAGAAAAGTTGTTTTGGAAATTCACGTTGCTACAAGTACGCTACATTTGTGAATTCATACTAATAACTGACCGATGAAAAACGAAAATTGTCTAAGTTAGCACATGAATTTGCAAGGAAGAATGTGGAGCGGACGTTTGGAGTCCTCAAACAGAAGTGACACATAATCAAACATTCAACACGTGCATAAGATACAGAAAAATTGATGAAGGTGATGAAAGTGTATATTGTTTTATATAACATGATAACATGAGAACGAGGCCGACATTGAACCAACGATGACGACGAGTAGTATTTTTTTTTTTTTAATTTCAATGTTTTATTAATGTTAATGTTTTTATTAGTAAAATATATGTTGAATTTTAGAAATATTATTTTTATTAAAGTTAATGTTTTTTTTTATATTTATAAAATATTTATTTATGTTTAATAATTGTGTTTTTTTATTTAATATAATGTCAAAAATAAATTTTTAAAAAGATAAATAATATGAAGTAATAATGATTTCCAATGGCTAGTGATACATAAGTGAAATTATTTTTCTAGTAAACAACTTCTCAAAACACCCCATAGCCTAATTAAATAAAGAAAACAAAGGCGGCCACTTACATACTTTTAACATATCGACATTGACAACACATATAGAGGAGACGTTCACACAACCTGTATTCGACAGTTTCATATCATTTTCAAATAGTTTCATTATAATCATTATCACATATTCAAATAGAGAGTATGGGAAGGCTAAAAAAGAGAGAGTATCAGCATGAGATCATGAGAGTAGACAAGGGAGATATAACTGAGTATATACCATGAAAGCAAGAGAGTTCAAGAGGTACTGTGACATTGAGTTTTATCGGAGGAGTATGACGGACGACTTGGTCTATGACAGGCAACAATGAGAGCTTGAGGCAACAAGAGTCAGAGAGGTGACGGAGACAACGACCATGTGGTTTTCAGCTAGGGTTTGTCACCTTGAGATATAAAAAGTAGATTATTGTGGGTTTTATGGGATTTATTAAATCGATAGATAATTGCATCAGAATTTAAGATTTAATAAGTTTCTATTTTCAAATATTTTAGTTTTTATTTTTGAAATCTTGAATGGTGTTTTTCTCCCTCTCAAAATAATTTACACATGCGTTTGTAATTTTTTTTTAATATAGAAAAATGATAGAAACCACTTTCTTTCTCACAACCTCCGTGCTTATATCTGCCATGAATGGGCCTTTGAAGCCTCTCAAAACAACTCATGAGTCATGAATGGCATAAATGTACATCGGTCCATGGATAGATGAAGAGTAAAAGAAACAAGACACACAACTAGCTTTTCTTATTGAACTCCAGTCTTTGGCTATGTATACAACACGTATTAGTAGGCTAAAAAGTTCGAAGGCCATGGCCTCCCTAGCCCCTTAAAGAAGGACCTTTAACAACATTCTCGATAACCAAAAGAACATATGAAATCCTAGCTAGTTTGTTGAAAACAAATGAATGTCATTTGCAAGTTTCTCGACATTCAAGAAAGATGAGCCACTAGGACTTGTCGCAATTTCAATCTTTTCCTTCCACTCCATAGCCTTGATCCTCATTTGCTTACCCATCTCTCCTCCAATCAACTCCTTTGTAAGCTTCTCAACTTCATCTCTCTTCACACTCTCTCCGATTTCCATGCCAACTTTCCATTCCTTGCAAATTTGCCTACAGTTTGTTGGTTGGTCCCATAAAAAAGGCCAACAAATCATGGGGACCCCAGCCGTTAAGCTCTCAATGGTCGAACCCCACCCACAATGCGTCAAGAACCCACCAACCGAAGGGTGGTTCAACACTTCTTCCTGAGGACACCAACTTGCGATAAACCCTTTCTTATTAATAATCTCTTTGAGTTCTTGAGGAAAGACAATAGACTCTCCAACAACCAAATTAGGCCTAATGATCCAAAGAAAATAATGGTTGCTATTAGCAATTCCAAAACCAAACTCTAGCAATTGTTGTGAAGACATCACTGCTAAGCTACCAAAATTTACATAAAGTACAGAATTTGGTTCCTTTGATTGGAGCCAGTTAAGGCACTCAGGTTCTTCTTTCCATAAACTATAGCTTTTATTGTCCAACTTCTTTGTTTCTTGCTCATTTTGTATATGTTTTAGTAGCAACTCTAGTGGTCCGATTGTGTAGATGTGAGGAAATATGGGGTTGAGGGCTTTAATGATGGTGGACTCTAAATCTTCAAATGTGTGGATGATTATAGATGAGACCTTTCTCATTGCTTTAGCACACTCAATGATAAAAATATAGTCCATATCACTTGGGTCTGTGGTTCGAACGTAACCTGGAAGATCCTTTAAACGGATTTCTTCAAACCCTGGAATCCAATCTATTATTGTGTCGAGATACCCATTGGTGAGGCAACTTTCGTCTGAAACATTAGTAAGAATTAGTATGATGATGAACAAATAAGTAAGCGTTTTCCAATGGGTGTTGATCCAAGTTCATTTCTTATATGGGGTGCAATAATATTATGGGTTTCAAGAAAATTTTAATCTGTTTTAGCCCACTAATATGTATGAAGAAGTCCGTAAAAACTGCATGTATTCTTTCAAAACTATATTGAGAAAAATAATTTGAAAATCAACGTATTGAGATCTATAGTTTTCCAAAAACACATTCAAGAACCCGACATGATGAGTTAGACAATGTGTTATGTTTAAAAGTATAGGCCCATGGGGGCGTTGGGTGACAATATGAGCACCTGTTTTATTATATATTTTTATTTGAAAATAATAATTTATTATAATGATAAGGTTATTTTTCTGATTTGTTATGGGCCTTAGATTTATTTAATTTCTATCTGGATAGGTCATACAAAATTAGTCATAATTTTTGTATAAACGTGACAAAAACGTCCACATTTTGAAAATTTTCACCATAAAAGTTAGTTTACTAATAAAATAAAAGTCGATCGTGTTCTAACTTCTAGAAAAATTGGTTAAACAATGGTATCCTCACACTTAATTATCTAACATCACAAATTTAAGCCATATGACTAGCCACGGTATATCCACATATTAATGTGGTCTCATCATTGTCACATCCTCAACATATCACTATCATATATTCATATAAATACTACTCCACATCATTAACATATTCTACTTTTTAATAAACTAAACTCTATTTGAATTTAAAATGTTAATACATCAACTTAAAAAGAAACTAACCTTTAAGTGGAATAAGATTTCTTTCAATTAGATTTGGAGCTTGGTAATAACCCCAGAAAGCACTAGCAGCGAAGGTCCAAAATTGCATGGTTGGTACTTTAAGCATCTCCGCAGCTTCAACAGTGAAAGGCATCATACCATCACCGATAATACAAGTAACTGGAATCTCTAGTCTAGCCACGAGATCAAGAAAGTAACCCAAACAGTTATTTAGAATAGACTTATTGAGTTCAAACCTGTCCCATCGTAAATCATCGGGAATACCATCGGGAATTGTCTTGAACTGAAATCCAGGTTCATCATCGAGACTGTTTGGCCCTCCGGATTTGAGTAAATGATTGTGGTTAATCTCAGTGTTTACGAAGGTTATGTGTATGCCTTTGAGGTGAAGTAGCCTCGCTAGTTTGAGCATACACTTGATGTGGCTTTGTGCTGGACATGGTACGAACACGACATGTGCCTTGGTTTCGCTGTTTACTAGCGCAGTTTCCATCGTATGTATGTGAGAGAAAACTATGATATGTAGGTTTGGATTGCTAGATGAAGCTTGTTATATATAAGACAATTATGTGATTGCGTGTGTAATGGTGGGTGGGTGTGTGTATGCATAATATTATTCGAGAGAATTCGATAATTTTGAAGTAGAGACAAATTAGTTGATAGTTGATAATAGAACACATTTAAAATAATTAACTTGTTGAAAAATGAAGTAAAATTTAAAAATAATTAATTATTATTTTATCAAAAACTAATAACGATATAACTTAATTAAAATTTATTCGGGATTTGTCTTCGATGTTGGGAATTACAATTGAAATTTCGATTCAAATCACAAAGTTTTCCACCATTTTCAATTATTATGTTGGACAAATGTATAAAGAGATAATTTTATGATATTTGTTATTTTTTTAAAAGAAATCTTCAAGAAAATTCTTAGGTTGCGATTTGATTTGTAGAATATTTTTGAAACAAATGGAATGTATCAAAGAAATTGGAATTTAAATGTATTACACACTAAAATTCATTACGTTGATATGGAATAGAATCCATTTTCTGTTTGATTTGTTGATTTAAAAAAGAATTGGAAAATGAATTTTGTAATAAAGCAGAAATACCCTTTAATGATTTTTGTAATTTAATTATATTTTTTAATAAACATGACAAAGTTTTATATAATCACGACATTTTTTATTGAACTCTTTTATAAAATATAAATTAAAAAATTAGCATGTTTCATTACAATCTATCAACTTATTTTTACGAATATCGTAGTTTGTAATTATGGCTTTTAACATAATTTATGGATTTTTTTTCCTTTCTTCATCAAGAAAACAAACAATAATGTCAAAAGTATTGAAAAAAAATCACATAGGCAAAATAAAACAACACACAAGGAAAAAGAACAAAAACATTTGGTATGCATACTTTTACAAGCAGTTATTACACACTGGCAACAATAAATTTGAACCACAAATTTAACAATTACGTATATTTGTTTGGATAATTGTCGATACTTCACATAAAAGAAAACAAAGATATAGTATAGTAGAATAATTTGAAGAATAGAAGTATTATAAGTACAGTCTAAGAAAACATATACAAAGATGAAGTACAATTTATATGTATTTGTGAAGACATTATGTAATTATCTAGGGAAATCTGCGAAAAAATCCCAATATTTTAGGTCAGTTTACGATTTAGTTCCAAATTAAATTTTGTTTACAAAAAAGGACAGATTACCGGCTAAAACTTCGGATTAACCCTTCGTGGCCGGTTTCACAGCTTTAGCCGGTATCTCGTCTTTTTTCGTTAATTAATCCAAATTTTGGGGCTTTTTCATTAATTAATCAAAATTTTAGGATTTTTTCATTAATTATTACCAATAAACTAAAATATTTAGACTTTTCTGAAGATTACCTTTAAACTAATATATATTATATGATCTAATTTAATATATACTATTCCATGTCTTATTTCTTATCCTCTTCTAGGCTTACCATGTGTTTTTATCGGTGTCGTCAAACCCAACAACAAAAATTTCACTCACAAGCCTCGTTAACTCCATCAATTTTCCCAAATTATCCATTCACAACTCTATGATCATCTTTCAATCTTCAAATAAAGAACGGAGAAATCCTTGTTAATTACGTGGATGTCCCTATTACCTAACCATGACTTAAACCGTGGTTCCAACACTTAGATGTTCATATTACCTAACCATGACTTGAACCCATACACTAATGGCGTTGTCCATAGTGTTGTTAACAATAGAAGACAAATCTCACATGTTCAACCACTGATACATTGGCTCAAATCTTACTTGACTCTTGTTTCCTTACAACACTATAGAAGCCCCAACGTAAGATGAATCCCACATGGTTCATCATTTATTGGTTTTTTTTTTTTTGTCAAAAAGTAAAGCATTTTGGAAGCCCCAAATAGACTAAAACATAATAATGACAATTATTGTAATATCACACCAATTGTTATTATGACTTAAACGTACCATCACAACAATTGTCATTATTACATTTTAGTCTATTTGGGGCTTCGAGAATGCATTAGTTTTTGGCAAGACAAAAACCAATAAATGATGAACTTTTTGATAAAGATCAGAACACAATCTTATTGATGGATCCAAGATCTCCTTCTCGTCCCAAGCCTTTTTCTCCTCAATCTTCTTCCAAAAAAAAAGCACTACAATATGCAATATTAGCCCCTCTTTCTCTCCTACAAGAATATAGCTCAATTAGGGTTTCTCTCAGAGTGTTAAGATGATAAGGGAGGCGGAAGCCTTAAGGTCCTTTAAATATGACGCAAACCCTGAAAATTAGGGTTTTCACACTCAGCTCCTACTCGTCGAGTAGACTCTATAAATTACGCGACCATTAACACTCTCTACTCGGCGAGTTGGAACCTCCAACTCGTCAAGTTGATCAGACAACAAGAATATAAATTAATTAAATATTATACCTGGGAGTCGGGATGTTACACCTACTGTAAGGAAACAAGGGTCAAGTAAGACTTGAGCCAAGGTATCAATGGTTAAACCATGTGGGATTCGTATTTTGTTGTTAACAAAACTATGAACAATGCCATTAGTGTATAGGTTCGAAATAAGGTTAGAGTCATGGTTAGGTAAAAGGAACATCCGAGTGTTGGAACCGTAGCTCGTAGGTATACCAAATTAATATTTTAATAGTTTATGATGAATAGCTTGTTGACATTTTTTTTACAATTAGAGTTAACATTCTTCATGGTTTTCAGTACATAATATCGAGATGATTTTTTTACCTATGTTGACTTTTTTAAGCTTAATGGTTCATTCTTCATGGTTTTCAAGCCCTATTGTAAGGAAACAAGGGTCATGTAAAACTTGAACCAAGATATCAGTGGTTAAACCATGTGGGATTCGTATTTTGTTGTGAACAACACAATGGACAATGCGAATAGTGTATGGGTTCGAAATAGGATTCAAGTCATTGTTAGGTAATAGGAACATCGAAGTGTTGGAACCACAGTTTAAGTCATGGTTAGGTAATAGGGACATCCAGGTAATCAACAAAGATTTTCTCCGTTCTTTATTTGGAGATTGAAAGATGATCATAGAGTTATGAATGGATAATTTTGGAAAATTAATGGAGTTAATGAGGCTTGTGAGTGAGATTTTTGTTGTTGGGTTTGACGACACCGATAAAAAAAACACGGTAAGCCTAGAAGAGCATAAGAAAGAAGACATTGAATAGTACATATTAAATTAGATCATATAATGTATATTAGTTTAAATGTAATCTTCAGAAAAGTCCAAATATTTTGGTTTATTGGTAATAAATAATGAAAAAATCCTAAAATTTTGATTAATTAATGAAAAAGCCCCAAAATTTGGATTAATTAACGAAAAAAGACGAGATACCGGCTAAATCTATGAAACCGACCATGAAGGGTTAATCCGAAGTTTTAGCCGGTAATCAGTCCTTTTTTGTAAACAAAATATAATTTGGGACTAAACCGTAAACTGACCTAAAATATTGGGACTTTTTCCAGATTTCCCTATTATCTATTACTCAAAGATAAATTAAACACATAAATATATAAAACAATAGCAAAACACTATCATTTGCAGAAAAATGGAAGAATTCAAGAGGTTTACTTGTCAATGAAAAGAATGCAACAAAGAACTAGAAAAATAACTCATCTCATGTCAAACACGATAACACAAGCGCATAGAAACAATGATCGTCGATGGTGGTTTTGCAATACCGATTGACATATATATATATAATATATATATATATATATATATATATATATATATATATATATATATATATATATATGACAAGGTTATAACATGAATGACATATATTATGTAGTCGTAAGGATAATTTTGGACCTATGGATGAATAAAATGAATTATTGTGATATAAGGGTTTATAATATTGTAATGGAATAACATGTACCATATAATCATACAAATTTAATTAAAATGATGTTTTAGTCAATTAACCTATATTTAAAAATGGAATTTTTAGATTTTATGGGATATTCATGCATTCCTTTAATTTTAATAATATGATTTTTTTAATTAATTAAATTTCAATTGTAACATATTTTTTTAATCATAGCTGATTTTATTCGGTCATAATGATATTCTGTTAGAATGATATTCTATGAGAATATCAACCATAAACTAAGTTCGGTTAAGAACTACATTTATTCTAAATAACACAACTAAGAATCGGAAGTCAAACAAGTATGTAACAGTAACTAAGAACAAATAAACATAATTTATATATTATTCTATCAGAATATATTTTACATATAGTATTATGATTCTATTGTAGACTATTCGACCATAATATAACACTCACTAAGAAAAAATATGGCTTCTTCTATAGATTGTTGAAAGAATGCAAAAACAAAAAGAAAACAAAATGTCATCTCAGAATCGTCTTCTTCACTTTATCTTATTCAAACTTAACTCATCCTCCTTGCAAAACTTTTGCAGGTCAGATAAATATATTTTGCAAGAATATAATCTCGCTCTTGAAATACTGAATATCTAAAACATTTTGAAATGAGCATTTCTAAAACATTTTGTTAGTATATACTCTGGATCTTGGAAGAATCTGCAAGAATATTAAACAAAAACCCTTAAAAGTTCAGAGTATACTTTTGAAAAAACCTATCAAAATATTTAACAATACACATTATGTTAATTTATATTAAAAGCCTAAGAATTTATATGAAGAACAGTGATAAAGGAGAAGTACAATTTTCAAGAATAAATCTAAAAAACC